AGTCAATGGTACAATGCTGAAAATCACGAATATTATAAAGAGAGCACAAGGCTAGGAACGTTCCACAAGGTATCCCTGACGCCCCGACCAAGTTGTGAAAACAAGATCAAAGCAACACTATACCTTCTTAAGTGCAGTTTTTATAGAAGTGGTATAACTTCATTTTTTGCAAATTGGTAGTATTGTCAGAGACTTAGATGGAAGCACCAGGTCTGCAGTCCTGTCATAATATCCATGATTTTCTCCAGCGTCTGATTGTGGATATGAGATATTCCCAGATGGTTCGCCGGCAGCTTAGTCGGCATTCGTCAGTGAATCTTACCATTTTCAGCACTAAACAAAAACTGATTAAAAAGGAAAATAATATTCACGATCCGACGCTGGAAATTATCACGGACATTATGACAAAGGACTCTAGACAAGATGCATTCATCACCTCCTTGAGAAAACAAGCAAGTTGTGAAAGAGGGCAAACCCTTTCAAGGCAAAGAAAGAAGACCGCGGCTATAATAAAGGCCACACCGTTTTAATGTTTATATTTTCAGTTTTTTTATTAATGTGAGTATATATACAATGTAAGGATGAGCCATTCCATCTACTTGCAATAATGCTGGCTTAAAGTTTTTGTAAGAATGAGATCCACTTTTGACGATATATGCCACATGAAAGATAAAAATTTATCATGTTTTTACAGGAAACGATAACTGCTCTTACTTGAACAAAATAATAATAATAATAATAATAATAATGAATGAAGAGCAAAGGATATTTTCCGTCGACTTCGGTTAAGATCAACCTAAGAGTAATTTTATCAAGCACTTGACACGAAATGAAATTCATCAAAGAGAAGTCTTCACAGACAAAAAGAATTGAAATTAAAGAGTATTTATAATTTAAAAACGAGTCCTAATTAGATGAAAGAATAGTCATCGCGGTTAAAAAGTTTGATGGTATAGTGCAAAAAGACTTTGGACTTTAGACAGGACATTTTTAATATCACGTACACATAAATAGTGAAAATTCTGACCAATAAAATAAAAAGCCTTGGTGAAAATTCAGCCTTCTAATTTCTATTTCACATGAGTTAGATGCGACAATGGAAGTGGAGGTAGCAATTAGTAGTCAATTACTGAATGAACTAATCAAGGTAATGGATAAGTGTAATGTTGATCGCCTTACGAGAAAATTTAAGATATGGAGAATAAAGAAAGCTTCCAAACGGTGACAAAATGAATTGAGCAGCTCATTTTCACGGCTAACTGAGAGACTATTCGTTATGAACACAGTGGATTTAGTCGGACCAAACGTGGAACCAACACTACATAAAACTAAACAATTCTTTACCTTTCAACCATACACCATGAAACCAGCATCGACTTAAGGAAAAGTTTTAGAAGAATTAATTTAGCAGAAAGCCTTCCAGCCGTCCAGGAATTTAAGCATGAATTAATATCTCTATTCACCTAAGATCGCATAAAGTGATTAATGAGTGATATTTGACATTTCCGACAAAAATAAAAGTAGGCCCTATGTTTTAATTGGATTTCTCATAGCCTTACTTTCCAAAAGTAAGAGATTTATAGGTGTATTGATAGAAATATAATGATAATTCTGTATATCTAAACTTAAAATAATATTTAGATGGGAGGGTGAGTCATAGAAAAAACAGAAAATAGTGTTCTTGTTGATGCTAATTATTGGTGAATTAATAAAAAAGTAATACTAATTGAGAAATAGAAATAAAGTAATATGATATGTATTCACTAAATTTCGGTTAAGGTGATGAGTAGTAAACGTGTCAAGCTCCCATTCTGCACTGTCACGGTTCGACTCCCGTTGAGGGTGTCGATAAGACAGATGTGAGGTCGAAACTGCAGTCCACGCTGGATGAGAACAACTTTTGGGAAAGCAAGGCCATGTAAAATTCAATGGAAACGTCAGTTATACTCATATCATTGTGTGAAAATTCTTCTACCAGTCTTCATCACCTTAACCGAAATTGGGTGAATACATCTCATATTACTGACTTACTGGTAGTCTCAAAACAATAATTAAATGCGAAAAAGAACTAAAGTATAAATACAGGAAAAAATAACATACTTTAAAAGGTTTTCCATGGTCGTTAGAAGCTAACTGTGCTATCTCCTCCACTTTGGAGATGGCATTCCGCATATCCGGAGGACAGATAGCATGCTTGTCACGCGGATTCAACTCCAAGTTTGCCGCGTTTCTAGTAGCTGCTCGACACAGTGTATTCCAGGTAAGCTGCATGATCCTTGTGGGGCGCCTACAAGCTCGATTCCAAGAACCTAGACAGACATCATGAGACCCAACATCAGTACTACCAGAACCAGTCTTGGTAGCAACGAGGTTATCGGTCACATCTAAGTTTCGATCGAGGGAACGTCGATCCGGCAGAAGACCAAAGAGATCAAGTCGGCGCGGTGGTGGAAGAGAGCCAGTAGGGAATAACGGCCGCTCGAGAATGTTAAATGGCTAGAGGCGTAATTGAAAACAATTCACTCTTAACTCGTCAAAATAAATAGTTTTAAGATAACTGACAGGTTAAATGCCTAATGAAATTATTCGTTATTTATAAGCAGAGAAATAAACATAGGAATGGATTAAACAAGTGAAAAAGTTACTAAGAGCCCAAGGAAAAAAACGATGGCCTTTACTGTTCATTTCTAAGAGATGAAGAAATGACCGTAAATAAATAAAATATCAATAGCAAATAACCCCTTTTGAGTAATTATCTTAGGAAATTAAATATATGAAGACCAAGATGTCGTGGCCTCTGGTGTGGTCGCAGTCTCCTTTCAATTGATAGAAGTGGGTTGACCTCGTTGTCGCAACTTGG